CAGGCTGGGCTGAGTCTGTTAGCACTGCCAACAGAGTGCAGACCACTGACCATCACCCTAGGTTTCCACCTCCACCTGGCGCACAGGCTGACACCCCCCACCTCACTGCCTCCCTTAAAGGGAGGCCCAGACTGCAGGTGGGGACGCATGGGGCCTCAGAGGGAGCTGGAAGGGAAGATGCCTGGGTTACAGCACTGCACCCCACAGGGCCACTTCACCAGCCGAGAAATAAATGCCTTTCCTCCTTCCTTCCCTCCTTCTTTCCTTCCTTCCTTCTTCCCTCTCTTCCTTCCTTCCTCTTCTTTCCTACCTTCATTTTCTTCCCTCTTTCCTTCCTTCTTTCCCTACCCATAATGTGGAGCTTGAATTTACAACCTCGCAATCAAGAGTCACATGCCTTTCTTAGTTCTGATGGGCTAAAGGCAGCTCCAGGCCACCCCCTCTCATGCCCTCCCTGCAAATTCAGAAGCCAAACCAAGCCTCCTACAGAAAATGAAACCAGACAGCAGCTGGCAAAGCCATTCTCCCTGGGTGAAAAGCAGATGTCTTGAATCCAGGTGTGGAGGGACCACCTGGCCTGGCAGAAAGCCGATGGGCCTCCAGCAGAGCTCTCCTCTCTTGCCCAGGACGAGTACTGCCCTGTGAACATGGAAGTCGACCTGCTGAGCGCCCCACCACACCCCATCCCCCGGGCAACAGGGTAGTTTCCTAGGCCACACACGTGGCTTTCCCTGATGAGGCATTTTTTTGTATGACAAAACTCTGCTCCTGCCCACTGCCAGAGAGAAATCAGTGTGCTGTGAGTTCTGGAGGGAAACCAACAGGAACATTCCCTCAGGGTTGACATCAACCCAGGCTGGAGCAGCACCCACCCCTGACCAGGGACCCCTGGAGAAATGCCAGGAAAGGCACCCCCTTCTCCCCACACCATCCCCACCCACAGGGGACCATGCTTAAAATTGCACCACGCACATTCATTCTTTGGGGATGAGAAATGGCCTCTCTTAAAATACTCCCACCCACAGGAGAGGTAATACATTAAGCTGTTGTCATCTATACCTCAGTGTGAATTAGTTGATTAGTCCTGGAATGTTTCACCTGGAATTGGTCTGGTCCAATCCCTCTTTTTGCAAGTGAGGAAAACCTCAGCCCAGAGCAGAGGTGATGTCCCAAAGGACAAGCAACAAGGGGGTGACCCAGTAATGGCAGGGAAGAGGTGGGAGGTAAGGATTGTACAGGGGTGACTGGGGCAACAGGGGACCCCCAGTGTCACTAAGAGGAGCAGGGGCATCATCAAGCTTGCACTTAAGAGATGAACTCAGAACAGCACCAAGGTTTCCCCCATGAGAAGGTAGGAGACGGAGTCAGAAGCCAGTCTCCCCACCCCACCACACCCTTGAACATAAAATTTCTTTGAAGTCTCTGGTTTTATCTTAGAGTTCATTCAGAGGCAACATTCTACACTAAAATATATTTTGGGTTGTTTTCATATAAAAATAATAGGACAACTGGTGGTTGCCCAAGGGGAGGGTGGGGGATGGGCAAAAAGGTGAAGAGGATTAAGAGGTACAAACTTCCAGTTATAAAATATTTTTTATGTTATGTATTTATTTATATTTTTATTTTTCATTTATTTATTTAAAAAAAAAAGATTTTATTTATTTGACAGACAGAGATCACAGGTAGGCAGAGAGGCAAGCAGAGAGAGGGAGGAGGAAGCAGGCTCTCCACTGAGCAGAGAGCCTGATACGGGGCTCGATCCCAGGATCCTGAGTTCATGACCTGAGCTGAAGGCAGAGGCTTAATCCACTGAGCCACCCAGGCGCCCCTATTTATTTATATTTATATTTTTTAAAGATTTTATTTATTTATTTGACACAGAGAGAGAGAGACAGTGAGAGAGGGAACACAAGTCGGGGAGTGGGAGGTGGAGAAGCAGGCTTCTCACTGAGCTGGGAGCCCAATGTGGGACTTGATCCTAGGACCCTGGGATCATGACCTGAGCCGAAGGCAGATGCTTAACCGAATGAGCCACCCAGACGCCCCTAAAAAAGAGTTTTAAACAGGGCCACCTGGGTGGCTCAGTTGGTTAAGTGTCCGAGTCTTGATTTCAGTTTCAGGTCATGATCTCATGGATCCTGGGATCCAGACCCATGTCAGTTTCAGAGCTTAGGGAGGAGTCTGCTTCTCTCCTTCTCCCTCTCCCTCTGCCCCTCCACGATCTCTCTCTCTCTCTCTCTCAAATCAATCAATCACTCTTTTCTTTTAAATCTTTAAACATAAAATTTTCTTTAAATAGTTAGATTGAGGGGCTCCTGGGTGGCTCAGTCATTAAGCATCTGCCTTCAGCTCAGGTCATGATCCCAGGGTCCTGGGATTGAGCCCCACATCGGGCTCCCTGCTCGGCAGGAAGCCTACTTCTCCCTCTTCATCTGCTGCTCCCCTGCTTGTGTTCCCTCTCTCACCGTGTCTCTCTGTCAAATAAATAAATAAAATCTTTAAAAATAAATAACTAAATAAAAATAAAAATAAAGAAATAAATAGTTAGATTTACTTAGCCAGATATCACTTTCCACTTGGCCGATAGGCTGAGTTTGTGTTTCTGAGGAAGATATCTGGATGGCTGGGATGGGGTGAGGAGGCTTCTCACTGTACGCCCCTTTGCCTCTGCTTCTTTATTTTTTATTTTTTAATTTGGAAGTAATCTCTATACCCGCTGAGATCAAGAGTTGCGTGCTCTTCGCACCTTTTAAAATTTTGTGCCCTCTGCAAATACGACCTGGCCAAAAAGTTAATAAAATTGAAACTTAAAAGAAGGTAGGTGGGGGGGCGCCTGGGTGGCTCAGTGGGTTAAGCCGCTGCCTTTGGCTCTGGTCATGATCTCAGGGTCCTGGGATCGAGCCCCGCATCGGGCTCTCTGCTCAGCAGGGAGCCTACTTCCTCCTCTCTCTCTGCCTGCCTCTCTGCCTGCTTGTGATCTCTCTCTGTCAAATAAATAAATAAAATCTTAAAAAAAAAAAAAAAAAGAAGGTAGGTGAGTTGGTGTAGGGCAAGACAGACCTTTTTGCTCTGATGGAAAAGAATGAAAGCAGGAACATATGGATGCTGGACCACTCTGATATTCACCCACGTTCAATGTGCGCCCCTGTACCTACCAAGGTCTGCTCTGGGGAGTTAGCCCCCAGCCGGGGGTGGGGGGTGGGGGGAAATGGCACGCAGGCTACCTCATCTGGGCTGACCCTGAGAGGCTGGGCCTGAGCGGCTCGCTGCCTTTGAAGGCCTCGCTGACTCAGAACCAAGACCAGGAGCTAGATTTCTTCCTTCCCAGTCTGGTGACCTCCTCACACCACCCCCTTAAGCACTGCTCAATAAATAATAGTAAAACATGGGGCGCCTGGGTGGCTCAGTCGGTTGGCTGCCTTTGGCTCAGGTTATGATCCCAGAGTCCTGGGATTGAGCCCTGCATGGGGCTCCCTGCTCAATGGGGAGTCTGCTTCTCCTTTTCCCTCTGCTGCTCCCCCTGCTTGCGTGTGTACTCTCTCCTAAATAAGTAAAAAAAATCATAGTGAAACAAGAGCTGCTGCCCACAGAGTGTGCAGTTTGTGCCCAGCTCTGGTACACAGACAGCTCCTTCAGCCTCACGGCTGCCTCACTAAGCAGCTGCTGTCTCCTCAGCCATGTGGTAGACAAGGACTTGAGGGTCTGTCTATGCTAACCTCGCCCACTGTCATACTCCCTAACCCAGCCAGGGGCAGACAGAAGATTCGAACCAGAGGCACATGCATACATACCCATTACCATTTATTAAGCGCCTTCTGTGTGCTGAGCCACTGTGTGCGTCGCTTAGAGGTGTTTTTACGAGGTCATATCATCGACCTGCGTTGAACGCAAGAAGTGATGGGGGTGAGGGGTGTCACTGAGGGAGGGGACTGTCCCTGCCCTGGAGAAGCTGACCATCTGTGTCAGTGTCTTAGATGACCACAACAATTCCTCCATCTGTGCCACACTCCACAGCTTTCAAAGCCCTTGATCTATCTCATTTAATCATCTTGACAATCCTGCCAAATCATGTTCACGATCTCTGCTCTGGGATGAGGAAACCCAAGCTCTCCAGGTCACACGGGGCCACCCCCAAGATCATCCAACCAGCCTGGGGAGGGGCTGGAACCTGACCTCAGGTCTCATGACTAGGTCTCTGCAGAGCAGGGACAACATGCTGCCTCCACAGCCTGGGCTCAGTGGCTTCCAACCTGCTCCAGCGGGAGGACTCCCTCCCCCCAGCTTGGAAATTGTTGCAGTCCTGCAAATGAAAGGGTCTGTTATTTAGGGTTTTAGTCAACCGGGGAAATTCACAGTGGAAAAACGACCAGGGATTCAGCACAGCTGAAAAGCAGTAGCACAGTCATACCCAGACATTACTTATCCAGTCGGCAGACGGTATCTGGAATACAAATAGACACTGAGACTTCTTGCAACAAACCTGCAGCCCCTGGGCAGGCAGCAGCTGGCTGAGACTCCAGTGCTGGGGCGGTTCAGAGGAGGACACAGCTCCCAAGTCCATCCTCTCGGTCAGAGCACAGTGTTGTGGGGAGGGTGGGGCGGGTTGATGTTCAATGGCATTGAGGGAAAATAGCATGGGGGGGGGGGGGGGTGGGGGGCAAGGGGGGGGGGGGAAAAGGGGCGGGGGGGGGGGGATCGTGGGGAGCAAAGGGGCTTGGGGGAGGGCCACAGAACAGTGGGGAGGCTCACAGGGTATATGGATGTGTGTATATTTCTTTTGGAGGAAAAGGTTGACTCTAGATGTTCAAGAGCCATTAGAGAGAGCAGTTGGGTAGGAAGCAGACCAGAAGGGGAGAGAGTGGTCTAGAGGGGAGATAATGTAAGAGGTTTGAACCTGCAATGAAATTACCTTTCAAGAAACAAAGAGAACTAACATCCAAGGCTGTGGTAATGGGTTCTCACTTGTCATTGAGTGACTGGGTGCCATGCCCTGGACTATGTAGGCCTCTAAGCTTGGTGATCGTTCACTCACAGTTCCAGAATCTGCTGCAGGCAGGAGGGTACAGCAGTGAAGCTCATCGATGTTAGAACTCAGAGGCCCCAGTGCATGTCCCAGCTCTGTAAAGGTCTCAGGGCTTTAGCTTCCTCACCTGCAAAATGGAAGTGACAATAGTACTTGCCATGTTGCTATTTTGAAAATTAAGCCCAAGAGCATATGTTAAATACTGAGAACAGAGCTGTCCTAGAATAAACGTTTGATATTATTCCTGTGAAAAAGCCTTTCCCACTCCACACCGATCATACCCCTCTCCCCTGCACACTTGGATCTCCAAGCTCTTCTGCCACTTTTTTTTTACTTATTTGTCTATTTGTATGTGTTTCTTGATATTAAACTGTAAACACCTGGCGCATCATGGACATTTATTAAGTGAGGAAGGAAGGATGAAAGGAAGGAAGGGAGGGAGTGAAGGAGGGAGGAAAGGAGGGAGGGGGGAAGAAAGGGACGAAGGAAGGGAGTGGGAAAGGGTCCTACCTGCAAAAGCTTATAATTTTACTACGGAGGGGCACCTGGGGGTTCAGTCGTTAAGTGTCTGCCTTTGGCTAGAGTCATAATCCCAGGGTTCTGGGATCAAGACCCACATTGGGCTCCCTGCTCAGCCGGAAGCCTGTTTCTCCCTCTCCAACTCCTCCTGCTTGTGTTCCCTCTCTTTGCTGTGTCTCTGACAAACAAACAAAATCTTAAAAAAATTTTTTTTTTTTTACTATGGAATGGGGCACCTGGCTGGCCCAGTCTATAGAGCATGCAACTCTTGATCTCGGGTTAATGAGTTCAAACCCCAGGTTGGACACAGAGCTTACTTAAAAATAAGCTTACTGTGGAAAACTGGGATGCCCAGGTGGCTCAGATAGTTAAGCAGCTGCCTTTGGCTCAGGTCATGATCTCTGGGTCCTGGGATCGAGCCCCACATCAGGGTCCCTGCTCAGTGGGGACCTTGTTCCCCCCTCCCTCTACCCCTCCACCTCACTCATGCGCACTCACGCACGCTCTCTCACTCTCTCTCTCAAATAAATCTTTTTTTATTTTATTTATTTATTTGAGAGAGAGAGAGAGAGCACAGGCAGGGGGAATGGTAGAGGGAGAAGCAGGTACCCCACTGAGCAGGGAGCCCGATACAGGGCTTGATCCCAGCACCCAGGGATTATGACCTGAGCCGAAGGCAGACATTTAACCCAATGAGCTACCCAGGTGCCCCTAAATTTAAAAAAAAAAAAAAAAAAAAATTTTTAAGTTTACTACGAAAAGTCATCAAGGTGAAAAGAAACCATATGATCTTCATCTTCTATAGGCATATCTTCAGACCCTTCCCACAAAGCCATGGGGAATGGAGTTTACAAAACTCACATAAGTTGCAATTCTAGCCTTCGTGGAACTGACGATCTATGCTGGGCGATGGGACAGGACATGTGAAAAATAGCTGTAGAGCAAGGCTATGGTGCTTGCCCGCCAAGGGACAGTCAGAGCCGCTGGCAGTCCATAGCTGGGAGAAGGCAGAACAATATGGGATGAGTCACAAGTGTGTGTCATCCTTGCTCAAGGTGAAATAGGGTTGTTGGGTAACAATAGGAAAATGTCACAAAGCCGGAGGAGCCAGTGCACGCCTCAGATTGGGGGGCACAGTCTTGGGTGTGGGGTTCAGAGGACGAGAGAAAGAGAAGGCTCTGTGGGGGTGGTCAGGGCAAGCTTAGTGGGATGGTGGCTGGGATCAAACTTCAGAATCAGGGTCACGTGAAACTCTTACTGGCTTGGAGCCCCAAGTGTTCAGAGTTGGCCTTCTATCTTCCCTGTGCTGTGAGCTCTCCTAGATGTTGATTTCTGGTAACTTTATTTTATTTATTTGAGAGACAGAGCACGAGCGGGGAGCAGGGGACACAGAAGGAGAGAGAGAGGAAGAGAATCCTAACTAAACCCCCTCCTGAGTGCGGAGCTCTACTTGGGCTCAATGTTATGACAGATCATGACCTAAGCCAAACCCAAGAGTCGGGTGCTTTAGCTGACTGAGCCACCCAGGCATCCCTCTGCTAAATATTATTATGCAAGTAATATGCTTTCGGAGAAGAAAGGAGGAGGAAGAAAAGGAATACAAAGAACCAAAGAGGAAAAAATAGGTCCCATCACCCTCTGCCAAAATTCACTCCCAAGTTTTGGTGCCTGTCCATTCACAACCCCCCTTATGTACCCGCCCACCCTTCAAGCTACCTATTCGTCCATCCATCCATGTGCATCAGAGTTCTCAGCTGCAAACAACAGGATCCACTCTAACAGAAAAGGAATTGATTAAAAAACATTCAAGGGTCGCCTGAGTGGCTCAGTTGGTTGAACGACCAACTCCAGATTTTGGCTCAGGTCATGATCTCAAAGTCCCAGTATCAAGGCCTTCATTGGGCTCTACACTCAGGAGTCTGCTCCAGATTCTCTCTCTCCCTTTGGCCCTTCCTCCACTCATGTGCTCTCTCTCTCTCTCTCTCTCAGATAAATAGAAAAAAAATCTTTAAATAAAACAAAACATTCAGAGGCACCTGGGTAGCTCAGTGGGTTAAGCCTCTGCCTTTGGCTCAGGTCATGATCTCGGGGTCCTAGGATCAAACCCTGCATCAGGCTCTCTGCTCAGTAGGGAGACTGCTTCCCCCACCCCCTCTGCCTGCCTCTCTGCCTACTTGTGATCTCTCTCTCTGTCAAATAAATAAATAAAATCTTAAAAAAACAAAATAAAATAAAACATTCAGTGACTCACAGAAGAATCCAGAAAGGAAAACATTCAGGCTCAGAAGTCAGAGATGATGCCCAAACCACCCCACGGTACTTTGCTAGTCAAGCCACCACGGCAGCTATCGGCATGAATTCTGCAACTTGCTTCAACTCACCCTCTTCAATGATGGTAGAAACCGGGCCTCAGAACATCCCTCCCGTTGCTCTGAAGGCCAGATGCCTCCTCCAGCCCCCTTCCCCGGGATGCCTGCTATCTCTTACTGTCTTCCAAAGCAAAACCCATGTGGTGGCATCAGATTGGTGGAGCCTGGGTCATGTGCAGACACCTGAGCTGCAAAGGGGTCTGGGAAAGTAAATTTCTGGCCTTTAGAGGAGTGAAATTGATGATCCAGGGAAAACCCACAGGCACCAGAAAGTTAATCAAAAAGTTACCGGTGGGGGCACCCTGGGTGGCTCAGTGGGTTAAAGCCTCTGCCTTCGGCTCAGGTCATGATCACAGGGTCCTGGGATCGAGCCCCACATCGGCGGGGGGGGGGTGTCTCTGCTCAGCGGGAAGCCTGCTTCCTCCTCTCTCTTTGCCTGCCTCTCTACCTACTTGTGAACTCTGTCAATTAAATAAATTAAATCTTAAAAAAGAAAAAAAAAAGGTACCGGTGACCATAATGTATGGCAAATGTCCCTTACGCTAGGCATTGTTTTTTTCCTCACAACTACAGGATGGCATCAGTTTCATCATTCTCTGAATCTCCAGGGCCTGGCCCACGGTAGGCACTTGATACATGAGGAAGGAAAGGAGAAAGAGAAGGGAGAGATCACATATGTACACGTTGCTTTACTAAACGAGATTGGAGGAAGACCTTGTGTTAATAGAGTCCACTGGGCTCCCAAGGCCTCCTGTGGATTCTGAAGGAAGGAGACTCCCTTGCCCAGCGTGCAAGTACAAGGCTGTCCTCCCACCCCCGTCAGACTTGTGCTCTGCCCCTGGCCTGTAGCATCTGGACCACAGGGAATGACGTCCTGGGGAGTCACTTACTTTCTTGGTAGCCCACCTGTTGGCCTAATGTCACTCAGGCTGTCACTGAATCTCCTTCCCTCCCCAATCCCAGAGTTCATGAGGTTTTAAGTGGTCTCTGAAGGCCAATCTAGAACAGTTGCTGCAAAGGCAACATCCGAGGTCTCCCCAAGGTGATAAAGATCACAGGTACCACATTCAAGCGGCTCTATTAAAATCAGGCTCGTTCTTCGTCACAGAATTATATGGGTCCTGGCTTTTAGAAGTTTACGCTGTTGTTTAACTGTTAAGAGGCTAGATACACACGCTTAAATGACAAGCTCTCTTGCTGTGAAATAAGGTAGGAAAAAGTCGCGAGCTCCCAGGTCTCAGGGCGTGGGGATGGCCAGGCCTCACAGGCTGGGTGAGGGAGAGGAGAGAGGAGAGGAGGAGAGGCTGGGGGATGAAGGGGTCCGGGAGCCACCGCTGATGGGCATTCTCCCCTAGCCCCTCCAAGCAGGTCAGACCCTGTAACTTCCATGAATTGCTATAACATTGTGAATCCCTCCTCCTCGTGGCTGAATGTTTCGGTGGTTATCTGGTTGTCCTCTGCCCCCTCCCCTCCATCCCGGACCTGGCTATGGTGACCTAGGAAGGTGCTGGGTGGGCAGAGGCTGGTGGGGACCAAATCAGGGCGAGGCTGCAAGGAGGGCGAGGCTGCAAGGAGGGCGAGGCTGAGACCCATCACAAAGCCTGTCTGAAGCCTCCCCCTCACACTCCTTTCCCCCAGGGAGGAGCTGCTGATGTGTTTCTGGAGTGTTCAATCCAATTAGTGCCCTCCCCTGCTCCAAGGAGGGGCCCAAGCCACCACTCCCCTCCCTGAGGTGGAGACTGGCTGGCAGGGGGTGCCGAGGAGGTCTGAACACCCTGACCCGGCTCCTCCTGCCAGCGCTGCTGGCTCGCTGCCACACAGAGGCTGCTATGACAGCGCCCGTTTCTAGGCGACTGTTCTGGGGAATGGTCTGTTTTGGCAACCAGAGGGCCCCTGGGTAAAGGGGGCCGCTGGCCGCCGCGCATTTGCATAGCAACCTCCTCTCTTCCCGGAGCCAGAGCCGGAGCCGGGTGCTGCTCCGTGGAGGGCGCCTAGCGACTGGGCGGCTCCGGCCAGCCGCAGCCCCTGCCTTCCACCCGGCCCGGCCTCAGCCAGCAGGCCCGCCCGGTGCAGGTGCCCTCCCTGCCTTGGCGCCCCCTCTTACCTATCGGGGAGGTAGAGGCTGCCTACAGAGCTAGGGCATTTCCGGAAAGGCTGGTGCCCTAGGGAAGTGGGGAAATGATGCTTGGGGACCAAACACAGAAACGGGGGGGGGGCGGAGGGGGATGAAATATCATCTTTTACAAAGAGTCAAAGTCACATGCCTTGGTAGCGTCAAAATGCCTTCTGGATAACAGGGTTGGCGCACCACATATTTATTTAAGTGACCCCCCCCAACCCGGCAAAGGAAGCCCCAGGGGGTACTCAGATCATGTCATTTGGATCATTACATTGCAAGCGTTTGTGTGAATTCGGAAATGGGTAGGCCTGGAAAAAACATTTGTTACCTAGAAAAATCAGGCAGTGATATTCCTGGGAAATAATTTCAGATACTTGTAGGAGGAACTTGGTGGCACAGTAGCGTCTGCATTTCAGAAGAAACTGAAAGGGAAAATAAATGAGATACTCCAGGAGGACCCCCCCCATCCTGCACAGACCCACCCCAACCCCAACCACATCTGCTATCTTGAGTCTATGATGCCAACGGAGATACCAGGCTCTGAGCACACAGACAGTAACTGCCCAAGGACACATGCCCTGGGCTGGAACCCGAGAAGGGGGTTGGGCAGGGGCAGGTCACCTCAGCTGAGGGATCACATTCCCTGGCAGCTGTCCAAGGGGCAGCACTGGCTGCACCTGTTTGTGGGGAGATTTGCTTTTATCAGTGTTGACACAGCAGCCTGGCCAGGGAGTAGGAGAGTAATAAATAAATGAGAGAGGGAGGGTGGGGGGAAAGGCAGGAGCCACCGAGGCGAGGCAAAAATGCTGAGGTCTTTTTTTTCCCTTGTTGTATGTCAGCGCGTTCAATCCAGTTTCCCCACCCTTGAAATCTCCGAGGATTGTGGACCGGCCTTGGCATGGGAGCTCTGGGTCTTAAAGAGATAGAATTGCAGATCGGAAGCACCTGAAGATCCTTGTGTACCGATGTCCCTCACCGACAGATCTCAAGGTTACTTGGTATCCTCACCTGCCACTTAACAGTTTGTCAGGAAGCTCGGCAGGAAGGGATTTCCTTCCTCCGGCTGCCAAGTTTCAGCATCGGGGAGACAAGTATGATTAAAGTGTTAGGTTTAGGAGTTAGTCAAACCTAGGATCAGACCCCGGTGCTGTCTAGCTGTGTTATTTGGGGTGCGCTAACTAACCAGTCTGAGCCTCAGCTCCTCCCCAGAAATGGGGGAGCAAAACAAACTTCTGCCCAAGGATGCAAGTGAGGACAGAAGCTAAGGCTTGGAATAATCCCTCCATATATATGTTCACTTGGTTGCTCTTTTTTCTTTTTTTAAGGTTTTATTTATTTGTTTGACAGAGAGAGATCACAAACAGGCAGAGAGGCAGGCAGAGAGAGGGGAGAAGCAGAGAGAAAGAGCCCGATGCGGGGCTCGATCCCAGGACCCCGAGAACATGACCTGAGCCCAAGGCAGAGGCTTAACCCACTGAGCCACCCAGATGCCCCTTGGTTGCTCTTATTACCTATCAACAGCAAATTTTTCTCAAGTTTTTCTCGAAAATGTCCCTCCCCTCAACAAAAAAAGAAAAAAAAAAGATCTGTTCCAGAAATGGCAGAAAGAACCTGCAGCGCTCTTTGTCTCCCAGATGGGACCAAATGGGACCTCTTAGTTTCTCGGCTTTGCTTCTGGTCTTCAGGGGCTACAAAGCAGCTCACCTCCATTCTAGTCCAGTTTGGTGCCTAAGCGGGATGCAAAACACACCTGATCATCAGAAGCTGCCTGACCAAGCCCAGCAATAAACTGCGTTTGTAACAATTACCACAGTGAGTCACTCCTGCCTTTCCGACACGGAGGCAGCTAAGAAGGCAGGTTGCCGCTGTCAGACCACTGAACTCTAACCCAGCCTTGGCAGCTCCCAGAGACAGGTTATTTAACTTTCCTAAGACTTGCTCTCCTTGGGCGCCTGGGTGGCTCAGTGGGTTAAGCCTCTGCCTTTGGCTCAGGTCATGATCTCGGGGTCCTGGGATCGAGCCCCACATCGGGCTCTCTGCTCGGCAGGAAGCCAGCTTCCTGCCGCCCCTCCACCCCGCCTGCCTCTCTGCCTGCTTGTGATCTCTGTCAAATAAATAAATAAAATCTTAAAAAAAAAAAAACAAACTTGCTCTCCTTATCTGTAAAATGGGCATAATAAAGAACTGCAAGCTTGTCTGGAGGATTGAATGCGTGAAAAAAGCATGTAGTGAGAGCAGAACCCAGAGAAAGGGCTTAATCGTGTCCGCACTGGCGGTCATTTGCTGTCTGTGACTGTGACTGTGTCATACTCATCCCTGTATCCCCAGGTCCTCAAACAAAGCCTGGTGTTGAGTGGAGTCCAGTAACATTTGATGAATGAATGAATGCAAGGCCCCTGCCCTCAAGAAGTTAAATCTACCCAGGAAATAGAAGGTGTAGGAGGCAGCAGAGGGTTAAAAGCCATTCTACCAGTCCCAAAGCCCCAGAGGCAGACGGTCCCTTTGATCCCTGTTTCATCTATCCAGGATGCTTTCAAGAGAGGAAAACAGGAAGTATCCCCGATAGCCCAGCCTCGCTCTGTTTTGTTTTGGTTTTTTTTTTAAATGATGAGGGGTGGGGGGAGAATGGTCCTCTGGGTCACATTTTACCAGTAAATCAGCCTCCTTCCTATCACATCCTGGGGCTTCCAAAGGGGCAGATAAATAGCTTCTTGCTCAGTGCTGAGAGAGAGAGATGTGGTCCAGAAATGGCAAAGCTGACAGGTTGGGGTTCCTTAGCTAAAGCGTCTCTTTTGCATTCACTTCCTCCCTCCCTCACTGTTGAACAAGCGCCTGGCCTTGATCAGGGGACCCTAGGGTTACAGCTCAGTGTCTAGTGTCCAGGGTATAAACTGTCCAAAACAAAGGACAGTGAACTCAGAGAGGATGGGCCAAACACGGAAAAGCGAGAATGCTCCAAAAGGAGATAGCCACGTGATGAGCAAGCAGTCATAGGAAAGAAAAACAGAGTGGAACAAAAGAAAAAACCTGGAGAATAAGTATTTCGGAAAAACAAAAGAGAGCTGCTTCTTCTTTTTTTTTTTTAAGTTTATGTATTTCTTTTTAGTTAAAATAAACATGGGGCTCTAACTCACAATCCTGAGATCAAGAGTCACATGCTCCTCTGACAAAGCCAGCCAGGCGCCCCAAAACATTGCTTCTACGGATTTGCAGCTAGGGTTGTAAAGGCCTTGTAATAGGATAACTGGACACAGAGACCGTGCAGAAGGCCATCACGTCTAGGGACACACAGGATGGCAAGAGTGCACAGAAGCAGGGAGGGGAAGAAGAGCTTAAGACAGCAGATCCGACTCTGACCTAGCCAGCCTGAAGACAGCAGGTGCTACCCCTCAGAGTGCTAAACTCACATCCGTGTTTGTTTCGTAAATTCAGTTATTTATTTGCCCATGCTGGACAGGAGAGAACTTTCCAGAAAGGTGCAAATATTCTATATTGGAATAGAGATATAGTTTACACGGACAAATCTATTTTTCGATTATTTTTCGATGTTACACAGTTAAGCCTTCTGCATGTCTGTGTTTGTAAATTTCACCCAGGAAAAGAACTATACAAAGTAACCAAGTGGGAGGGGCTGGAGGTACAGATGAAACAAGAGACAGAACAGTTAATGACAGACTAAGCATCCGTGGGGGTTCATTATATCATTTGGTTGACATTAAATGTGGTTTGAAGTTTTTCATAATAAAAAAGCGTTCTTTTTTTTTTTTTAAGTGCCTATAACACGTCACTGGTGTCCTTAAGCAAGTCCTTTTTGGGTTATCAGCAAGGCAGCTGAGACATAATCTCTTTTCTTATACATGAGGAAACAGAGGTGCACCTTGACTTGCTCAAGGTGTTCTCAGATATCCCGCAGCAGAGCTGACACTGAACTATCAAGACGGAGCAGTGCCCTTCTGACCTTTTCAGACGTCACCCACTTGCGGGGAGTCAGCTGGAAGTCGCCCCTCACCCAGGGCTGCCTTTGCAACCCCCAGGCCCAAGGAGGTGCTGGGAGGCCGCATGGGCTGGAAGGAGGGTCTGTAGGCTACAAACCCACTTTGCTCTCCAATGTTTTCATTCTGAAAGGTAATCCTGAGCATGCGAAGAATTCCGTTAGGTCCCTTAGCTGTGCTTTCCAAAGGCAGAGAGGGAAACCTGGACAATGAAAGATTTCCAGTCACCAAGAGTTGAAAGAACAAGAGGGCCGGAGTCCCAGCTCAGTGGCCAACAGAGGTGTTGCCTTAGGGTGGTCCCCTCTCTTGCCTTGGTTTCCACTCATCTGTAAGTCAAGAGTGAAGAAGGGGTGCCGGGGTGGCTCAGTCGGTTAAGCATCTGCCTTCCACTCAGGTCATGATCTCAGGGTCCTGGGACGGAGGCCCTCATCAGGCTCCCTGCTCCGTGGGGAGTCTGCTTCTCCCTCTCTCTCTGCCTGCTGCTCTGCCTACTTGTGCTGTGTCAAATAAAGAAAATCTTTTAAAAATATATTTTTTTATTAAAAAATAATTTATTAAAAAAATAAGATTGCTAAAAGACTTTTGGGTTCTATTACCCTATGGGGTTGTCGGAAAGATCCCAAGAGGTGTGGCTAGGAAAAGTAAAAAGAGCAGTAGCAAGGGGTAGCATTATGGGGAAGCAATGAGGCTTTGGCAGGATTCATAAATAACTCTTTCGGGTGTGCCTTAAGGAAAAGACTTTTTTGGGGGGGTGGAGGAGACACAACATTTATGGATGTCTCTGCACTAGGCCAGATGTGGTGTTTTGCTTTCTCCATAATATCTCATTTACTCTCAAAATACCTTATGGGGACTCAGGTACTATGATTTTGCTCATTTTCCAGATGAGGAAAGAGGCACAGAGACCCTTAGGCTGCCCAAGGCCAGACAGCTGGAATGGGCCAACCCGGACCTGGAGCGGGGCTGTCCTGTGGGGGGAAGGCCACACCCTCCTCTGAGGGCCGGGTGGCTGCCAAGGCTCCCGGTCACCTGGGCGTCGGACTCAGCATCAGGAGACCCAGCCTGGAGTTCCAGCTCAGCCGCTTATTAGCCCCGTGACTGGGCCGAGTCACATGGCCTCCCAGACCCTCCATCTCCCCAGCTGTATCCCAGTGATAATAAAACCTACTCCACCTACCTCTCCAGAAGGAGGTGAGGATTCCTTGAAATCACTGATACTGCAAGGGTTTGGAAACAGCTGCAAAGGGCAACAGAAAAATGAAGACATCACGATTATTTTTTCAGAGACACATTCCTGGCTTATCACATGGGGACATTTCAGCCCCTCATCCACCCCCTCCCAGTCCACTCCCAAGCCAACGGTGGTGGTCAGAACCGGAGGCCTGGGTGTCTCTTCCAATACTATTCTGGTCCAAAGGTGGGGAAGAAAGGCATCTCAAATGGCCTCAGCTTCAGGATTCCCTGAACAAACATAGTAGAGGGTTGGCTTCAGACTCCGCCCTGGGCCCGAACTTCAATGAGGGCCCCTTTTCCTGTTTGTCATAAAACAAACAGGCTTTCAGCCACTTGGGCAGGATTTAACTGGCAATCAGCCCTAGAGATAAGTGGGTCACACTCCGCAAGCTCACATGGGAGTAATTTGTACCCAAGAGCAGCTTATCATTTATATTTTTGAATCCAGGCCCCCGGGTGGCTCAGCTGGTTGGGCATCTGCCTTTGGGGTGGGTCATGATCCCGGGATCCTGGGATCGAGTCCCACTTCAGGCTCCCTGCTCAGCAGGAAGTCTGCTTCTCCCTCTCTCTGCTCATGCTCTCTCTCTCTCTGTCTCTCAAGTAAATAAAATCTTAAAAAAAAAAAAATAATGGTAAAAAGGTGAAGACAGGATGTTTCAGTTTATCTGTTTTGTATACCCCTCATTCCCTTCCCCTGTGTACCTGAAGCCCTTAGCACAGCCTGTCACAGCAGAGCACAGAGAATGTTCAAGAAATGAATGGAATTAGGGGGAGAGAGTGCAGGGGTTTTACAAGCATCCTGGAAGGTATGGCTTTTCCAGAGGGCTTGTGTCCTTTTGTTATGCGCACCCCCCCCCACCCCAGACACTCACTGTCCACCCACTTCTGCTGCTTTCAACTCTAAGCTTAGAGGGACCATGTGTTTCTAAACCTCAAATCAGGAAACAAGGGCTGACCAAGTATTTGAAACCAGGAATCTATATTCCAGAAGGATTTGTGCCCTTTGTTTTGCACTCGAATTTGTAATAAGTATCCTTCTGCATTTGGCAGACTCTTTGCTCAGCCCAGTTTGCCAATGGACAGTCTATCTTACAGAGATAAGGCTGAATCAATACAAATAGGGAGATCCCGGGGACTCATCAGCCGACCTTCTAATTCACTTGCCCCGTGGCTTGGTGGTCCTCTGCTAGGCTACCATGCACTACTCAGCACAGGTGAAGTGGATAACCGAGTAGGGTCAGGGTTGTTCCCAAGGGGAGAGCCCTCAGGTGCTGGGTGGGGCAGGAGAAGCCTCGGATTGGATTCTTGCCCCACGTCTGCTTCTAATTGGCGGTGTGTCCTTGGGGAGGTCGCTTCTCTCTGGTCTCACTGAGAAGTGAAGGGGTGTGGCGGATGGCACAGGCTCAAAACCTGACTGACATCTTGCAGTTCAAGCCCTGGGATGTGAGAATTTACCCACATACTCTGCTTTTCCTCCTGCAGTTTGGGGATAAACCGTCTGGCTCCTATCTAAGGCAAACACCTTCACTGGCCCCTGGATCCCATCCCCTCCCACTAGCAATGCTCTCTCCTCGCCCCTGCATCATCTGTTTTTCTCTC